GAAGGAAAGGAAGGAAGGAAGGAAGGAAGGAAGGAAGGAAGGAAGGAAGGAAGGAAGGAAGGAAGGAAGGAAGGAAGGAAGGAAGAAAGCAGGCTGAGCAAGCCATGGAGAACAAGCCAGTAAGCAGCGCTCCTCCATGGCCTCTGCATCAGCTCCTGCCTCTGCTTTCTGGCCTGACTTCCCTGGATGATGGGCTCCACACTGTAAGATGAAATAAACTCCTTCCTCCCCAAGCTGCTTTTGGTCATCGTGCTTTATCACAGCAATAGAAAGCTAAGACGGATGGCCACACCCTTCCTATGTCTGCAGCGATAATACTCCAAGGACTGAGGCAATCAACTAACCAGAATCGGGTGGAAAGGTCAGAAATAAGTGGCCTGAAGGATTTTCAGTGGGGAAGTAACATAAGGATTTAATACAATTCTGAAGTTCATGAAGCAATGCAGGGACGCTCTGTTGAAGAACTAAAAAGTACAGCCCCCAGTGTATCACTACATTTTCCCACGTGGGAAAAAAAAACCTCCTTGCATCCATACCATTTTACCTGCCGTGAAGTATTTCTCACTTCCACATCCAGAGAAAGGTGTCAGGGACTACTCATGACTCTACTCCATGGATATGTTGGGGGTCAATTAGCTGGTCCTCCACTCAGCGGCATCTACACTGTTTCCAATTTTCTTGACTTCAAATGTACTCTCAGAGGTGAGATTGCTGGGTGCAAACATAGTGCTTCAAAAATACTGGGAAGCGTTACCCTACGCCCAAGCAGCATGGCTTCCTGTCCCCTAATCCCTGGAACACTGTGTGAAGGGGTCCACTGAGACCACACAGTGGTTACCCCAAGGAGCCTTTCTCTTGTCTCCACCCTCTGAGTCTGTCTTCTTTCCCTCCCACCCCAAGGCAGACAATTCCCCAAAATTGAGTCAACTGTTTTGACTTAAGTCTTGTTTCTTTTTAAAGCTTTCCCTCCATAAATTCTGTGATATTTCCTCCATATTCCCCGTGTTTAAAAACTGCATTGTGGATGTCTACGCCGTTCCTTCCTTCTCAGTGGAAGGGTCCCAGCTGCTCAGCGCTAAGCTTGACGTCTCTGACAGAAAAGCAAGGCAGAGATGAAAAGAGGCGTCTTCAGAGAACGCTCATTGCCAGGCAAGCCTTGAGCGAAGGGGTGTGGTACCCCTTTAGGGCTGTGTAAGCACCTCTACACACCACCTCAGAGCAACCCCAGGAGGCAGTGAGCAATGCTTTTCATCCTTGGGCTCCAAGCTGTGGAAAGTGGGTGTCAGTGATGTCAGACCTGACCCAATAGTGTCTGAAAATGAGGCTCTCAGTACATTCTAGAGGCCAGGCTCAAGCCCATCAGAGAGTCTTTCTTTTCCCACTAAAACTAACGTCCTGTCTGGGTCTTGGAAAATTCACTGTTTGTGCAGTAAGTCCACGGTCGGACATTTGGTTTTCTATGGTGCTGGCTTCTTTGAAGTGCAGAGTTATGCAGTTACAAGAAGTGGCCTGCCCCCCCTCCTTGAAGAAGACAGTGGGGTCTCTGGGGAAGACTCAACACCTCAGCTGTCCCAGTTCAGTCCTGTCTCCTCACTGTCCCCCAATACTTTAGAGATGCCCTGTCCAGTTTTGGAGAACATACTGGCAATTCCTAAGCACTAGGCACCAGGATTAGAATCTCAACGTACAGGAGCCAGGTCTTGCCAACAAGGAGTTCATCTCCGAGGATGAGCAAAGAGATCCTAATGCCTAAGTTCCATCAGCATTACAGTTTTGATGACGTACAGG